GACATATATATTTGCACAAACGGTGTGCTATCTCGAGACACCGACCACGGATTGCAAAGGTAGCGGTTGGGACAGCTCGGGCAAAATGTTAATGTTACTTGTTGTGCGCAAGTTTTAGTTTGCAATTTGGTGCCGAGTTGGTGAAATGGGCTCGAGTCTGCTGNCTTGTTGTGCGCAAGTTTTAGTTTGCAATTTGGTGCCGAGTTGGTGAAATGGGCTCGAGTCTGCTGTGTATTTAGGGCGCGCAGACAGACACCAGACACCAGACAGACACCAGACAGACAGCCATGGAGTAATTTTCACGCCCCTGTGCATGAAAATTATTATTTTTCTCATGCGCACAGACTCCACACACGATCCCTCTAAACAGCTTTTTTTTTGCAAAACAACAAAACAAAAAGCGTACCCCTAACGGGCCACACTTTTTAAACAAAAAAAAAACTATTATTATGAGACACACAAGACAGCTACCAAACTGACTTGTTGAGCCTGTTATCCGCAGGGGAGATGTCCCTATATGCTGTCTGGGAAATCGTAGACATACAGGTAGTTTTTTCTGACGCTATGATTCCATTGTTAATCTGTCTCGGACTCTTATCGATGATAAGAGATGGACTCGTTGTGTCATACTCCTTATTCTATTAAGAAAAAAAAAAAATGTGGACGTGTGTGTGGACGAAGAGACACCCACAAGTGGTCAGTCTGACCCACAAGGAGTCTTCTCCCTTGTTGTCCCGATACGGTCAGAACTTCTAATAACACGACACTTTGATCCCAGCTCTACTGGACTTAAAACGTTACCACGACAAGAACCTTGGCATCAACACAAATGAGCTGACACATACGTACGCCGTGGGTAGCACACCCCGATCCCCCGATACCACCGCGAAGGATCTCCGTTTTCTTTCCTTGGTTCTCCCCGCATCTCCGAGCGGGGATACGTCCTTCTCCCCCCCCCCCCCCCCCCCCCCCCCCCCCCCCCCCCCCCCCCCCCCCCCCCCCCCCCCCCCCNGGCATCACGCACGAGCACCGACGCACCCATGCCTATGGAGGAAACGTACATGCCAGATGGGCCAGAGGCTCAGCGTATAGCGAGGACAATCCCGTTCTACCCGTTCAAAGGAATTGATCGATTCTACGATATCGGAGGTACGATCTACCATTTTGTTGTCAGCAAGTAGTCGTATCGCTGCGTGCATGGATTTGGTGCATCGTCCGCGTTGAGAGAGCTGCAGCACGTAGAAGAGATCATGGCGGTGATCATGTTGCACATCTTACTTCATTCCCTACCCCCTAGTGGTCATCTTTTTCCTGCTGTATTTTCTTTTTTCGGGACTGTCGCGTTCTGCCGACTACTCCATGTTTTTTTGGTCAGAGTTGATGCCTATGCATACTTACGTCGATATGTCGGTAACCGTACCATGTGGAGGAGGAGATGCCACACACAGGATAAGGGTCGGGTTTGTGTCCAGGGGTAAGTTTGAGGTGTGGTTCCTTCGCGTACATTGGTCAATAATAATCGGCGAACACCGAGAGCGTCGGGAGGGGAATTCTGGTTTTGTGTACACCTGCGGCGAACGATAACAATTGAAAGAGCTGGCGATATTTCGATCTACAGCAAGCAGTCTGGGCTGCAGTTGTACTCCTTTCTGCAACAAGCATTGCTCTTCTGGCGCATTTTGTTTTAACAAACATGAGTTTCTGCCCGGCGTGTCGACTGCTTCTCACCTGCCAAAACTGGCGACAGGTGCTCCATGTAGTAGACCAGCTCAGCAGTAGACACGTACTGCTGTAGCTGACCTTCTCTACTATCTATCTGGCGTAAGCAGATTTGGGCCAGATGTAGGTTAACTAAAATCCTGTGTGCAACATACCGTGGTGGCCGTGATGACACCGTCGGAACGAAACCTATTTTCCCGGTCACTGTTGATAGGCTCACAATACAACCTACTTTGCAGGACACATTTTCATTTGTCCAGACTACAACGCGGAATCCCTCATGACTCAGAAGCTCTAAATGCAACGGCAACGTTCAATTCTTCGTCCGATCGCGAATGGTGATCACTCGTCCAACTCTCAGCCAGTGGTGCCAACCCTCTCTGTAACGCCTTTGTTTCCTCATGGCACTCAACAGGCATGTGCGCTGATCCTGAAGCCTTCGCTTTGGCCGTCAAGATCTTCGCCGATAGATACAGGTACATTCCATTGAAACGTTAACCTCGAAGGAACAGTCGGTTGTTTTTATGCCCCACTGCTTTCGCGTACCCGTACCTCGGTACATAGATGCGCGGACTCGCCAAACCATTTTTTCGGCACGGAAATGAACCGACCCTCCATTCGATTGATTGTCCCGCTTTCATCAACCTTCTCCCGCGTAAAACCGTTTTCCAGGGGCATGAAGATTGACTCCATTGGTGGTTTCGACGCTCGAGGCTTCATTCTCGGCCCGCCGGTGGCTCTCGCGCTCAACATCCCGTTCTTCATGCTAAGGAAAAAGGTGGAAGTATATTCGTTTCCCTGTCCGAAGAATCAAGAAGCGCCTTCGTAGATTGTGCTCCTTCTTGTCCGCGTGAACGGCAACAACATGGACGGGTGACAAGGCTTTTGTTTGCCAACGTCGCGGCACAGGTCGTCCTGTTGGGGGCCAACTCAAGGGGGTTCCGGAATACGGACGTTGCCGAGTCAACTCAAGGCGGCACAGCAAAAACCTCGAAGTTGCGGTATTGCAATAATTGTATTTATGTACGCATATGCTAGGACATGAATAATTGGGTGCCACGCCCCGTCCAAACCCTAGACGCGTCGCCGGAGGTGCACCAGGAAACCGCCGTCGCAGTAGATTGCTCTTCTCCCTTGAAGCAGACCGTCCACTCCCCGTCTCCCTCTTTGTACCGTCGTCGCCGACAAAGCCTCCTTCGTCCGGATCATACCTTGATTTCGACACACAAACTCTGGTAATCCTTCGTTCTCCGTTGTAAGCCCCACCCACCCCGTCTCAAAGAGAGGACGCGAGGTCAAACTACTATGCATACGGCATGCAAAACATGAGTAGTACTCCCCCGCTCGCACCGGGCACGCTAAATATATCCGTTCCCCCCAGGGGAAAATGCCAAACGTCATCGATGGAGCGGCGTACTCCAAGGAGTACAAGGGGGACGATGGGGCCGGCCAGGACGCCTTGTGCGTGCAGCGCTCGGCGGCCACGGCGGGGCAGCGGGTAGTTCTTGTGGACGACTTGGTGGCAACTGGGGGCACGCTGATGGCCGGAGTCGACCTCGTCAAGGGGTTGGTAAGTCGGATCTACGGCTGCGATATACCTACCGCTGCACTATTTAGCACACATCTGCAGTAGTAGTAGCACATCTGCAGGCCGGCTTGTTGTGTGCGGCGTTTTTCTTGTGGCGAAGATGGACGGCAGCGATGTCAGGATGGAGGTTGGGTTTTGGCGGTGTTAAGGGAGAGGGCTGCTGTTTTGCCGACATATCCATGAGAAGCTCACGCGAGCTCTGGTTGCCGCTGGTGGCGATCGATGGGACCTACCGTTCGCAGCAGTTGGGGTTGATTTCTGCCCTCCAGATAGTTTGTTGATGGAGCTCTGGAGAATTGCTTTCCATGGGAAGCGTTGTGGTTCGTTGATGCAGACACCGGGACGGATGGTGGTTGCAATCGAACTTTTTGTCACAACGTGAGTCACGCGTACATACACGGAGAAAGGAGAAGGCCGACTCGTTTCGACGTTGTTGGTCGTGGTCGCGTGCAGGGTGCTGAGGTGGTGGAGTGCGCGTGTATGATCGAGCTGAAAGCGTTGAACGGCGTTGGCAAGCTGCACGAGCGCCATGGGGACGTACCTGTGTGGTCACTCATCAGCGAGAACATCCTCACCGTCAAGGGCGAGGAAATCAGCTAGGCTAGTTAAGCAGCGTAGCATCGCACGATGCAGGGGACGTCTATCTGCGCGTGTGGTCAACACCAAGGGGATATTGTTCCCCTTTTGTTCAGGGAGACGTGAACGCACAATACATGGCCGTGCTGTTTTTTGGCGCAACGGTACCCGCACCTTAACCCTTTTGTGACTGGGTTTTCCCTCTGGATCATCCGGGTTTTTTTTTCCTCAACTGGGCGAAGAGACCGCTGACATCATGAAGGCCAAGGCTGTGGAACGCACATGTTTCAACCACCGTCTCCCGTTCACTACACATGTACTGGTATCTCCCACATGCACTCAAGTAAACATCGTCGCATCCACACGTCACTCCCTTGCTCACACAAACCTTTGGTATATAAGCAGCAGACAAGCGCACATCAGGGCTCTCATCGGTGACTGCTGTAGGTGCTGGGCGTGAACTGGGGGGCTCGATCGAGAGAGGCAGACACACTGCTGTCTTCGCCCCGCACTCCTGCTGCTGTGAACTGAACATGGGTATCCATATGGCATAGCTCTAGAAATATCACTGCTGTCCGCCCGCGGCCGAGGCAGCACACCCCGCCCTCGACGCAAGGCACCTCCTAACGTTCCACTTTTAGTGCTCCTTCGTTGGGAGCGACGAGACATGTTCACGCACGAACGAGTGTGACATCGGGAAAAATCCGAAAAAATGTCCAACCGTCGGCAGCACACCAGCAGCAGAAGTAGCAGCTGTAACAACAATAGCAGCAGGCCTTGTGGAATAACATTTCGTTGAAAAGAGACGCCGAGACGCACACGTAGAGGGGACCCGTCGAGAGGCATCGCAAAGTGGACCCTTACTCCTGTGCGCCAGCGATAACTTGGGCACAAAACGAAGAAAAGTCTGAAGTATGCAACCAACTGCTGTGTGTTGTTGTTGTTGTTGTCTTCACATTAAAAACCATCCCGGTCTCTCTATCCAGTACCTCCNACTAGGGGGGTGGTATCTATCATTATTCGCTAGAGGGGGGGGTGGTGTCCATCATCAGCTAGCGAGGGGGGTGGTATATACCTGGTATATACCAAAATAAAATGGANAAAAAGAAAATGGACCCCAAGAGCGATACTAGATCGGGAGGTGGAATAGTTTTTTGTGGTGGTTGCACAAAAGTACCTGCAGTAGGCTCGTGCGTCTGTTGCAGAAGAACGGGGGGCGGTCCATCATCACCAGCTAGAGAGGGGGGTGGTATCCATCATCATTCGCTAGAGGGGGGGGTGGTGTCCATCATCAGCTAGCGAGGGGGGTGGTATATACCTGGTATATACCAAAATAAAATGGACCCCAAGAGCGATAAAACACAAGAAACTAAAGAATCAGAAACAAATAAATAGCTAAATAGTGGAACGTGCGCACCACCAGCCTGGGGGGTAGCCTTGTGTGTACGAATCGCAAAATAACGCACTATCGGGTCATCAAATAGAACAAAATCTTGCTACATTTTTGACAGTTTCGGACCCAAAAAAAAGCTGAAAGAAGGAAAAATATTCTGAGATAAGCCATCGTTCCCAGGATCGTTTCCTGACAGTCTCGCCAGAACCCGAAATAGAGGTAATTAATTTTACAGGAATCGGGATCTTCAGGACTGGGTCGCTCACAGCGCAGCGGGGCGATTCGACCCCCTCTGAAAACAGTACGTTAACTTCGTGCCCTCATAGCGCGCGCCCAGACGCACGGCGAGACTCGCGCCTTCGCACGGTGGTACCTGGTGGCCTAGCGAACAGAATGACTCATTTCGCGCGGTCCCGATTGTGCCCGCTGAGTTCGGAATCAGCGTCGTGAAAGCGCGCTGAAACCCGCAGAACCGACGTCTTTCGTCTTCCGTTCGCAAAAAGGTGACAGTCCCGTTTTGCGGGGTTTTGGTATTTAGGTTGGTGTGTTGCCAGCAGGGAAAGAAAAAATACGAACACCCTCAATAGCCAGCACGTACTACCGTCTATTCACCTCTAGTGCGGTTGGTAGCAAGCGCAGTTTTCACGTAGTAGGTCGATCACAGTTTCTGAGCAAGCTTAACGAAGCCGCTCAACGAAGCTGGGAGCGTGTAGCCCTCTCTGCTGCTGTGAGTTCTGGAAGTAAGATTCGTGTCTCCTCACCACACCCGCGCCACGCTCACACGCGCACACTTCAACACANTCAGCGTCGTGAAAGCGCGCTGAAACCCGCAGAACCGACGTCTTTCGTCTTCCGTTCGCAAAAAGGTGACAGTCCCGTTTTGCGGGGTTTTGGTATTTAGGTTGGTGTGTTGCCAGCAGGGAAAGAAAAAATACGAACACCCTCAATAGCCAGCACGTACTACCGTCTATTCACCTCTAGTGCGGTTGGTAGCAAGCGCAGTTTTCACGTAGTAGGTCGATCACAGTTTCTGAGCAAGCTTAACGAAGCCGCTCAACGAAGCTGGGAGCGTGTAGCCCTCTCTGCTGCTGTGAGTTCTGGAAGTAAGATTCGTGTCTCCTCACCACACCCGCGCCACGCTCACACGCGCACACTTCAACACAGCAGCCGCTACCTTCCGAGTAGACATGAGTGCGCTATCGAAGGCTTCGCCTCTGAAACTCAAGCCAGTCGAGAGTCCCAAACCCCCCTCCAAGCCCAAGACTGCGCTGGAACCCGGCAATCCCCCTGTGGGTGTGCCTCGACGTGAAAGACTGCCCCGACGGTCGGCTCGCGGTCCGCACGAAGCGCGACGGCAGGCACTACACGACCTGCGCCAGGAACGACTGGAAAGACCCCGAAACGTGCAAGGTGACGTGTTCGTTCCTCGCCCCCAGCAAGGACCACCCCCACAAGTGCCAGATCTGCCTGCAGGACGTCGGTGGCAAGCCTTCCATCGGCATCCCTACCGACGACGTCGACGACCGCGGTACAAAGGTGAGGAGCGTCCCGTGTGCAGGAAACTGTTATTCAATCTAACCGCCCGTTCCGAACACGAGCTACGCCAGATCGTATGCTGCTGCGCTCTCCGCTCGCTCGCCGCGCACAAACACCCGCAACCCACAAAACAACCATCTTCTCGTGAAGATGTGGCTGTCACGCGGCCATAATTTAGGAGTACGTTTTTTTTTTTGCTACATGTATGCAACTCGTGAAGATAGGCCTGTCCTCCATCGGCCGTTTTATTTTCGATTTAGATACACAAACTTTATTTCTATACTAATTTCAAGTAATTCCACCTTCTTATTCTCCGTCATACAAGCAAAACGGCCGATGGAGGACAGGCCTACGTGAAGATGAAGTTGTCGCGCGGCCAAAACACTTCTATCTACCATGAACTGGGACCCCGTGAGGGGGCAGCATGGGGTAGGCTAAACTATCCTTCGGATCAAAAACAGAAACAGCAGCAACAGAAGAAAACTGCACCCGTCTTCCAAGGCTATTACCTAGTACTCGAGTTCGTTTAGGAGTACTTTCACCAGTATCCTCCTTGTAAGGAGAAAATATTTAGATTTTAGAGCGGCTCGTTTTGTGGAAAATTTTGCCGAGAAAACTATTTAAGCAACTTTCTTCGAAACAACACACCCACACCAGCCACCACCACCACACCAGACCCACACGCACACACGGCAGTCTGCTACGAACATGTCCAGCACCCGCCCAAAGAGAAAGACAATGCCCAGCGCGAAGGCCCTGGATCTGGCGCGCGACGAGGTTGCCAAGAGGGAGGCGGCACGGGCAGCCGGTCGGGTGGGCTTTGCGGCTCTAGGCCAGCAGCACGCCCGAGACCGCGAGGCAGGGGGAGGAGAGGAGCAAGCGGCCGGGCTAGGCGACGACGATGTCCAAGTCGTGGCAGCACCAGCAGCAAAGCAGACTAGGGTTAGGAAGAGCACGAAATGGCCTCCTACTTACGACTTGGCGCTGGCAAGGGCGGGTGAGTCTTTCCCCGCGCAAGGGTATGCTCTGTTTTTCTTGAGAGAGGCGTTTGTCGGCTTGGATGTGTTCCCTCACCAAACCCCACCCCCATACGCTCCGAACGCGACACAGCACTGCAGGAGCAGCCGGCCACAGCAGTGGTATACGTACTTGCTGTCTCCGTACTGGTGCGATTTCCTGTGCTGGAGTTAGTTGTTTCCTTTGCTGGGGTTGAGGGAGCGACCCATGTGCGCGCGCACACATGCACGCTGTTTTTGAACTGTAAAAGAGACAGCCACTCCGAACCAGATTGTTGATCCTTGGCAACGAGGGTGCAACGAGTGCACAACATATACGAAAGATTCAATCGAATAGCAGCGGAGTAGGGTAGGAACACAAAGCTATATTCGGTGTTCGTAGGGGAGATACAAGTCTTGCTTGGCGAAGAAGCTGATACTTTCTTGCACTGGTTCCGACGTGGAAAAAATGCACGTCACATGTGGCATCATCTTGAAAATTTACAGGCAGCGACGAGTTTTTTGGACGTACGAAGCCGCTGCATCTCCCAGTAGATACAGTCTACTTGCAAAGAATGTCACATGTCGCCTTTAGATGGAACCAGCAGGACAAAGGTGCGCACAAAATTGTAAGCGCAAGGTGTACTCGACTAGTACATTTTCGCTACACAACGGCACATAGCCCAGATATTATGGTGGGCGCGGATCCGCTGCTGCGTCCCACAGGTTAGGCAGTCTACCCGTGGCACATCATGTTGCATCATGTTATAAGGGGTTGCCCGCAGCGTTACTTATCCTGCATCCCGCTGTAGCCACAGTAGATGCAGCCTATCCGAAAGAATGTCGAAACAACTACTGCGAAGCACCGCGGACCCGGTGCAGTTGACAACAAGCGCAATAGCCATTCCGTGCGCTGCAAGACGGCCGGTGTTCACGGACTCGTTTACTGGCGAGACCTATGCTCCCTCCTCTACTCAAAATGCACATGTATCTGGTGTAAAAATGGAGCCGAAGCAAGTCCCCACTACGACATTCGAAGGCGCTCCCACCCTTCTTGTCCTCTACAGGTCTGCAGCACGAAGTGTGGAAAGTGAATGGGAGCGGGCGTTCGGTCGGCGAAAGGTGGGACGCCTGCTGGAAGACTCTCAACCGGGAGCCCTTGGTCAGGATGTTCAANTTCCTCTTCTCAAAACGCACATGTATCTGGTGTAAAAAATGGAGCCGAAGCAAGTCCCCACTACGACATTCAAAGGCGCTCCCACCCTTCTTGTCCTCTACAGGTCTGCAGCACGAAGTGTGGAAAGTGAATGGGAGCGGGCGTTCGGTCGGCGAAAGGTGGGACGCCTGCTGGAAGACTCTCAACCGGGAGCCCTTGGTCAGGATGTTCAAGGAGAAGTCGTCTTCAATTTGCAAGCATCGCTACGACAAGATCGTTGACGACCAGAGCAAGAGCGATGGTAAAGCCCTGCGGGACTCCGGAGCCGGCACTGCTGAGAGTGGCTCGGAGGACGACGTAGAGAAGAATACCAAGGTCCAGCTGGTGAGGGGTCCAGAGCCAGTAAGCTATNTCTTGTCCTCTACAGGTCTGCAGAACGAAGTGTGAAAAGTGAATGGGAGCGGGCGTTCGGTCGGCGAAAGGTGGGACACCTGCTGGAAGACTCTCAACCGGGAGCCCTTGGTCAGGATGTTCAAGGAGAAGTCGTCTTCAATTTGCAAGCATCGCTACGACAAGATCGTTGACGACCAGAGCAAGAGCGATGGTAAAGCCCTGCGGGACTCCGGAGCCGGCACTGCTGAGAGTGGCTCGGAGGACGACGTAGAGAAGAATACCAAGGTCCAGCTGGTGAGGGGTCTAGCGCCAGTAAGCTATCCCTACCTTTTGTGACGGGCGCAAGCCTGAGTGTACACGATCATGGCACAGTCGAAACAAGACGGGCACGAAGAGCTGCACATGGAGAATCCACAATCCATAGAGTATCGTGAAACACCTGCGCTGTCCCGACCGAAGAAAATGCCTGCCGTCCTCACCAACGTTACACTTGCAGATAAGAGGGGTACGCACAGGGCTAGCCGTAAGCAACTGAAAATGCGCAGCATGACAAAAGAAAGACAGAAGTAGATAGACAGCACAAAAGCCCGAGTGCTACACGCCAGGCGACGCAAAACGTGCAGAGAGTTAGCTTGCTGAGNATTAAATGCGCAGCATGACAAAAGAAAGACAGAAGTAGATAGACAGCACGAAAGCCCGAGTGCTACACGCCAGGCGACGCAAAACGTGCAGAGAGTTAGCTTGCTGAGACGGTCCTTCACCCACAAAATCAAAACATCACTCCCACTCTGTATTGTCTAGGGGCGTGACGTAGCAGTGTTGACACGGAAGTACAAAACAGACGATGCATATAGCTATCGCCGACGCTAGTGATGCACTTTGTAAGTCGTAGAGCTGACGAGATGCCGCGCCGCTGTTGCTTCTTGTCCGCGATGTGCCGCACAGGACAAAGTTCTGACCGCGATAGTGGACGCGAAGGCTGCCGCGAGGCAGGACTCGGAGGAGACCAAGTAGAAGAAAGCCGAAGAGGCGGCCTCGCACTCCGCGATGGGGATGTGGGCCATCAACCAGGGCAACGCCCGATGCGGGCCGGGCGCGAAGGCTACATCATTCCAAGAAGCTGTTGCCGCCGACAACATCGCGTTGGGTTCCCGCTCCGGTGCAGTGGACGGTGGCCGTGCCAGCGGTCGGGTGAGTCCGGCCAGCAGCATCGGGGGGGCGAGGCCCGCGTCGGAGGCTTCGGCGGGTGGCGCTGCCAGCGGTCGATCGAGCCCGACCATGAGTACGGGCGGGCTANCCGTGCCAGCGGTCGGGTGAGTCCGGCCAGCAGCATCGGGGGGGCGAGGCCTGCGTCGGAGGCTTTGGCGGGTGGCGCTGCCAGCGGTCGATTGAGCCTGACCATGAGTACGGGCGGGCTAGACGACGACTTATCGCCCGCGGGGAGCGGGCCATCGAGGAAGGTTCCACCGCTTGGCGACTTGGTGAAGCACATGGGGTCGCTGACCATTCCGATGCTTGCGGAAAGTGCCGGGGTCACCACGGAGGAGGCGGACTACTTCCTCAACACGGGCTTCACGCCCGACGAAGTTCAGCCGGAAAGGGCCGTAGCCATGATGACGGTACTACTCGACAAAAGGCTTAGTCACCAGCGCGACGGAGACAACGTCCAGGACTACATGGATGATCTTGGTGAAGAGGATATGCAGCTGCCCGGGTTTGATAGGTTTGACGAGTCGGTCATGTTTAAACTGCTCGAGCTCTACGGCGTGGAAAAAATGGACTTCCACAGCCTGCCGGATGCGAATTGGTTTCACGGCGGATGGCCGATAGATCGTGTTACGCCGGACAAGGTGCTTCAGGTTACGAAGCGGGTGGCTTCGTTGTTGGTGCTCGGCGCCGGCGTGACGAACTCCTGGCTGTCCGCCGCCGGTCAGACATCCAGGCCCGGTTCTGCAAGAGTGGNACGGGCCATGTCAGGCATGGACCCTTCAGGGGCGGCGAGTGGGCCTTCGGGAAACCGTGGAAGGAAGCCCCGTGCCAAGACCAATAAGCTCGCCGAGGATGGGCTAGATAGGTAAGGTTGTTCGTCGACTCTGCCCGTGTCTTGGTTCTCTATTTCCTTCGTGTGGTATACGCTGTGCATTATTGTTAGATTCTTTTGGTGGACGTAACCTGTACCAGAGAAGTGTCGTAGCAGTATTATTGTTGGCTACTCCATCAGGGAGGTGCCAGAGCTTACCCTAGCCTGGTGCCTCTCTTGCGCCGTTGTGCCATATGTCCCAGCTTCATGGAGCGACAGGTGGCTGACGCTCGGGCACTCGCCGATCAGANATTATTGTTAGATTCTTTTGGTGGACGTAACCTGTACCAGAGAAGTGTCGTAGCAGTAATATTGTTGGCTACTCCATCAGGGAGGTGCCAGAGCTTATCCTACCCTGGTGTCTCTCTTGCGCCGTTGTGCCACGTGTCCCAGCTTCATGGAGCGACAGGTGGCTGACGCTCGGTCACTCGCCGATCAGAGACGTGAAGAGGACGAGAGGAGGCGGGCGGCGGAAGCTAAACGAGAAGTAGGGAGGAGGCAGGAGCTCCTGGACATGATGGCCCACAAGAGGCCAATGCGGGAAGATGAAAGGAAACACGACAGACAAGAGCGTGAAGTGGA